CCGGTGGAACGTAGGCGGTCGTCCGGCGGCCCGACTGGCCGACGAGCGGTGCGCAGAACGATCGGCGAGCTCGGCGGACCGGCAGAGACGACCGTCTGCGGAGGGGCCGGGACGGGGTCAAGGCATCACGGGATAAGAGCAAGTCAGCTTCTGCTCCTTGGGCGCCTGCAGATGAGACGATCAGGCCAGGCGCCGGCAACGGAACCTTGCGAGCACTCACGATCCTCGTGACATCGTCCTTGTGCTTTTCCTTGAGCCTGACGGCCTCCTCGACGGCAATCTCATCGAACGGGTTCATGCTGAACTTGACATTCTGGTCGACGCCCTTGCCGTCGGATGCGACACGGATCTTGACGGCTGCAGAGCGCGCGCGGGCGAGGCAGGCGCGGAAAGGGAGTCGGGAGGATGAACGTCAGCCTCTCGCATTCAAGCACGGTGCCATCGCGCATGACACGGCGGCACTTCGGGAGCGGCACCCACCATAGTCGATGGTGCGCTTGATGGGGACGAGGACCCGCAGCTGGTTGACGAGGGTGGCGCGCATGATGAGGTGCTGGCGGATGGGCTGCTCGACGGCAAGATGCGAAAGACGCAGAGGGAAGGCAAACCAGCATCAGCAGCAAGTCGCGAGCATCAGCGTTCGCTCGTCTGCGCTGCCGCGCGCTCAAAGCTCGTCGTGGCTCGGCACACAACACTCACCAGACGGAGGGGGAGCGTTCGGAATGCAAAGTCGGGAAGGCTGAAGAGAAAGCCCGGAGAGCAGCGAGCTGTGAGATACGGCAGGGAGTTCTTCGGAGAGAGACAGGCAGGGTGATGGTGGACGTCGCAGGATGATGATGACGGCGGGTGGAGCTTGCTGGGGGACCGAAGGCTTGCCTGCCCACCCTCCTAACCAGCCAGACAGCCAGCCGATGCGGCTGCGAGCGAGCGAGCGCTCCTCGGGCCGTCCGGCTACCACCGTATGCGGGGCAGCGGCGTGGCGGCCGCTTGCCCCGATGACCCCCCTCGCTGCCCTGCCCGCCCCGACCTTTGGGTAAGCCCAGGCCAGGTTGCCTGGCTTGCTTCCGATCACACGCCCAGGCCTGCCCCGCTGCGTGCCCGTGAAAAACGCTCGGGTTGAACCGCAACTTCTCGGCCTTCGGGATTTCAAGGGACCACCGGCAGCTTCGCTCGGACCCGCTGCCAAAAGGAAACGACGTGTGGGCAGCGGCCGCGATCCAGGTCACGACCCGGCGCGATGCATCGTTCCGTCCAGGATGCTGCATGGGGAGCGTTCCTCTTCGAGCATCCCCGGACGCTTCTGCATCCTTGCTGACAGGCTGAATGGGTCGAGGATATGGCGCGCAACCGTTCTTGCATGGGCAGATCGACATAGGGTCAACGAGGCGAGAGCGGGGAATCAGGCAGGGGTATGTACAAGGGCCCGACCCGCGCATCTGCTGGGCCACAAGGAGAGGCAAGGGCCGGGGTCACTGTCCCGAAATGGATGCGCGGCAATCCCTGGCGCAGCGTCGATGTTCGCAAGAAAGGTACGGCGGGACGGGCATAGGTTGGGTGCACGGCGAAACGCGGCTGCTTCGGGCGTCGGCATCGGCGTCTGGGGCAACGGGGGACATGGCCGGGCCCGGCCGGCTAGACGAGGCCGTCGTAGAGCGACAGCGCCTGTACAATTGTCGGGTCCTGCTTGCTGCCTTCCTGGAACTCTTCGAAAGAGACTGCGGGTCGCCACCAGGGGACGAGGCCGGAACGTGTCAGCCAGGCAAGCGGTCGGACGGTCGTTTTGTCTTCGGCGTCCCACTCACGCTGGGCGTTCTTGTCCTTGTCCATCATCCGGAAGATCTTGTCCACTCGCTACCAGGGGATATCAAAAACATGTTGAGGTGCGGAGTCAGCGCTGATTCGTGTGTCCGTGTCTGCCCGCTTCCACAGCAGGGCTCACCTTCTCCGGAGTGTCCTCGTCCTCGGGCAACTTGACCATTTGGCCGGTCATCTTGTAGATCGACTTGACGATGGCTGGCGGCGGTGAGACAAGGAGGCATTGTATGGCGGCGACTTAGACAGATGCGCATCTTGGCGCGGCTCGCGATCGAGCATGCCCGCTTCCACTTACTCAGCATCTCATCGAACGAGATGACGCCGTTGCCATCGATGTCGTATCTGAAGGCGCGGGAGGCGGAAGAAGGGTGTAGGTCGGGGCGCAGAGACTCGCGTCAGGACGGCAATTCCGAGCAACGCAGAGGCTACCGTCCGCGTCGAGGAACCGCCATGGGCAACAGCGGCTTCCGACGGGCTGGCAGGGCGGCACTCACAGCTGGAAAGCCCATCGCAGCTTCTCGTCGAGCCTTCCGCGAGAGGTGACGCTGAGCGCACAGATGAACTCCTTGAAGTCGATGGTGCCGTTCTTGTTCTCGTCAAAGACGTTGAAGACAAACTCGGCAAACGTCGATGGGTCGCCGAACGGGAAGAACTGCTTGTAGATCCTGCAGAACTCCTGCTTGTCGAGGGTGCCCGAGGGGCAGTCTTTGAGGAAACCCTTGTACCTTTTGGAGGGCGCCGCAGAAGTCAACGCGATCAACAAGAGACGATCAACAATCGAAGCATGTCAGCGGGGCCGAACAATTTACAAATCATTGCCAACGTCCTCTTCTTGTCCCCTCTACACGTGGTCTCGGGCACTCACCATTGCTGCAGCTCCTTGCGGTCAACTGGGAGGATTACACACGACGAGGCGTGTCAAGGAAGATGCGTCAGCGGATAATGACAGAAACACTCGTTGGACGATTAGTCGCGGTGAAGAGGATCCGCCCCTTTCCCTTCCTTGAGGCAGCCCGAGCGCCTCGCAGGTGCGCCGTAGTGGATGGCCAACTCACAGTAGGTGCTCTTCTGCAAATCCGAGAGCTGCTCGGGGCTGAGCTTGGACTGGTTCTTTCCCATGATGTCAACGTCAATTGCTGGAGATGGCTGCAAATGGCTGCTTCCGTAGCGCGGTGGAGCAGGCCGAGGAAGCTCGAGTCTGTATGAGAGGAAAGTCTGGCACAATAAGGTGGCGACGGGATGCTTGCTGCGCGATCGATGCCTCTGTGGGAGCGCCGAAGGGATGTTGTGGCAGCCAAAACAGGGCCGATAAGGGCGTCGCGGGATGTTTCGATGGCAGGAAGCGAACGGACGGATGGGGTTGAATGTAGAAGAGGTCGAAGAGATGGTGAGGCGACGGGGAGGGGAGCAGGGGAGGCGGAGGCAGAGGTAGGCCAGGTGCAGGCTGAGAAGGTGGGGTGGGGCGGGGGCTGTGCCGCCAGGCCCAGAGCCAGAGCCAGGGCTCGGCCCGCCGCCCGCCGCCCGCCGTTGGCCGGGGAGCTGTTGAGACGGGGCCAGCGACCACGCGCCCGCCTTTGGACCAGGAAGGGCAGGCCAGGCTACACTCCTGTAGGCCCGCGCCCTTTGACGTCGTCCCTCTGGCCAGGCACCCCAAAAAGCACCAACGCAAGCAGTCCAGTGAGGCTGGGAAAAAGAAAAAAAAGAAGTGGAGGAGCCCAGGCGGGGCAGCCCTCGCCCCTCCTGCCGTAGCCTAGGCTCCTCCTGCTGGTCGGCCCGCTGGCCGGCCTTCTGGCATCGCAGCGCCAAGACTTTTTGAGCGTCGGTCGTTCCGTCAAAGAAAAGATCAACGAGCAGCCCAGCAAGCGCTCACCACAGCAGGTACCGGCCCTGCTTGCTTGCTTGCTTGCTTGCTCCAGAGTGCTATTCTTAGACGTACTCTTTTGCCTACCCGCCGGTCGCTACAGAGGGGCGACGATCAAAGAGGTGCTGGCTGACAGGCCGGCGTGATGGAACTCGACCGAGGAGGAAAGCCGGCAGGAGAAGAGCGGACAAGAACAGGGTCACGATAGGGTAGAGCAGAGCCAAGCAGTTGAAACCATCTCGCGCGCGCGCCCACGCACCGACCGACTCCGGACGAGGCTGTGCTGAGCCGCGCGTGTCGGCAGGCGCCGACGACGATTGGCGTGCAGGCCGACGAGGAGCGCAACCGCAGCCGGTCAGCGGCCTTGCTTGTTAGACAGAGAAGGGATGCCATCCACCACCTTGTTGCTGGCTGGCGTCTACTGTACCAACCTGTAGCCATTGCCGCGCCTTTGGCTTCGCCAGACCCTCGAGCCAGGGACCAGAGCGAACGACATCGGCGCAGCCAATTATTCTGCTCGACCAAGCGAGCAGCCCGACCCCCGGACCCTCGGCCCTCGACGATCTTCTACGGCTCAGCCAGGCCCGCCACGGGAATGACTTCCCATGATATGGTGGTGCCGTGCCGGTGCTCGTTAATTGTGGTCTGATGGCCAGTGTACCGCGCTGGCTCGCGCCCGACGGGCTCGTCATCGACCTGCAAGAGCTCCTCTGACATCGGAGCGCACCTCGTCCCCGTTGCGGATCCTTTCGGGTCCTGTCAGAAGAGGTGTTGCTTGTGGTATTTTGATGCCTCTCCCTAGCCTCAATCTTGCTTGCTTGCTGGCTGGGTGCGGTGCGAAGGGCCTCTTGATATTCTTATTCTTATTCTGATTAAGATTCGCGTGTTCACTACTCCTTCTTTCCTTTCGAGAGATAGAAAGAGGTCAAAACGAGATGCCGTCGTGGATGTGGAGGTGCCGGGCCTTTCTCACGCCTTTGTCACTCTTTGTCACTTTGCTCCTCTCGACCTCTCTGACTGCCTCCCCACCTTTGCCCAAGCTCCGCCACCACCTACCCTCCGGCCTCGTCGTCGTCGTCCTCGTTTGTCGTGCCCCGCCTCATCTTCCTTCCCGCGGCCAGATCGCCCGCGCTCGTCGTTCGAGTGCCGGTGCCGGTGCCGACGCCCGAGACCCATCTCAGCAGCACGGCCCGCTCGACACCCGACGACAAACGAGGCGTTTCAATCTCTCCCTTGTCCTCTAGCTACTTCCGCCCTCGAACCATCGTCGTCCTCGGCGCCTCAATCAGGCTGACAGGCAAGCAGCAAGAAGACCCAAGTCAGTCCCTCGTTCCTGCCTCTCCTCCTTTGCGTGGAGCCCTCAGCAACCTTGAGCTTGCCACCGGCCATCACCGCGGATTCAAGGCAAACCAGGGCCGCTTCCAGCACCTGGCAGCGATAAACCTGCGCCGTTTTGCTTCTGCCACCGAAGCTCTACAGCTGTTGCCTGCCCGCCCGCTCCTTCCTGGCGGGACATGCACGCAACATCTCCCGTCTCGACGTTCGCCCAAATCGACCCACCCCAACACCATGTCGTCGTCGACAGAACCACGAGGCTCTGGCTCTGAGCCCTTCTGCGCTCATCCCGGCGCAGGCGCAGGTGGCGGCCTGCCCAGCCGCAGCCCCAGTCACAGCGACGGAAACCACAAGAGTGGCAGTGCCACAGCCAGCGGATCACCCCAACCGCCGGTCGCATCCACACCCGCTTTCCCCGAGGCACCAAAGTCGCCCCAACAGAAGGACCCCTGCGCATCCGCATCGACAGCCGCGTCCCCCTCGAGCCGCTCTAGGTCAGGCCGTACGGAAGAGGCTGGGCCTTCTCGGAGCGTACGCTGCACCCCCCCCTCAGATCTTCCTCAACGCCGGCAGAGGCCCAGCGTGGTGGACCTCACAGCGCCATCACCCCCTCTGCCCAGGCCTACCGTCGTGTCCGGATCGAGCGCATCCAGCCGCTCCTCATCGGCCAACTCGAGCAGGAGAAACACGCCCGCTCGGATTGGCGAACCAGCAGCCGCCCTCGGCGAGTCCGCTCGTCGTCGCCTGCCGCTCGGCGGCATAGCACTGCCCGGAGGCGGCTTCGTACGGGCCCCGGACCCAGACAGGCAACGGGCCGCCAGGCTGGAAGCAGCGCATGCCGCTCGCGCAGCCTGGGCCGAGCGAGCAGCCCAGCCACGGCCGCCATCGAGACCTCGCGAAGCGGCTGGCGGCGCAGAGCCCATCGTGCTCGAGATCAGCAGCGACGACGAAGAGTATGCGCCGCGCTCGGCAACCTCCGGCAGCCCAGCTTCTGCGTCTTCGTCCCCGGTCAGCTTGGGAGCCGCCCGTCCTCGTGCTGACCACGACGACGGCTGGACAGCAGTCCCGCTTGGCAGGGTGCAGGGCCGACGCCGCCGCCGCCCTGACCCGCTCAACCTCCTTTCGCCGACGCCGCCGCCTCCGCATGCGAGCGGCTCGGCGGCTCGACAGGCCATCTCCCGCGCCGTCGCTCGAGCCGAGAGACCTGTCTTCGGTGCCACTGCCGATGCGCGCACCGGCGACTATGCGAGCGCGACTGATCGAGACCGCGAACGGCACCGCGCCGCTCGCGCGACTCGGGACGGCAGCGTGTCGAGCGACGAGTCGGACGGGGTGATCGATCTCTCGGTGTCGACACAGGCCACACCCGCGCAGCGCACCATCACCAAGTATCGCCTCCGCAACTCGAAGCTGACCATGCCGCAGCGATCGCCTCCACGAACCAAGCCTCCTCCTATTGAGCATCCGCTGGCTTCGACCTTCACCTGCCCCATCTGCCTCTGCCCACCGGCCAAGGCTAGCATCACCCCGTGCGGCCACGTCTTCTGCGGCGGCTGCCTCTTTGACGCGCTCAAGGCGCAAGCCCGTCAGCGCGAAGCCAACAACGCGGCGGCGACGGTCGGGCCTCAGGGCTGGGGCATGGGCTTGTTCGGCGCCGCCGCGATGGTGGGTGGCGCTTTTGGGGGCGCTGGCGGTGGTGGTGGAGGAGAGGATGGCGGGGGAGCGGCAGGTGGCGATGCGGCAGCAGGGCTGGGCGGAGGCAGGGCGGGCGGCGGACGTGGTCGGGGAAGAGGCGGCCAACGCGATCCGCTGGCTGGCCACTGTCCCGTCTGCCGCGCAGACATCAAGGGCGCCTTTGGCGGCATCGCCAAAGGCGGCATCGTGGGCGTGCGCCTCATGGTCGGCAAACCAGTCGACGACCCTCGGATGGAGGATGGGCAGTTGAAAGGCGGCGGAGCGGGCGGAGGCGAGGAAGAGGACAAGACAAGCAGCGAGTCCGAGATCGAGCCGGTGTCGCCTCAGCACGTTGCGGCCGGCACAGAGGCGCCGGGAATGGCCGGGCTTGGCGACCTTGGGTCCGGATCGTCGAGGGCATCGGGTAAACGCAAGAGGGTGGCCGACATTCAGTCATCGCTGGGCGAAGGTGGCGGGGAAGTGTCGGTGCTCAATACGCCGTCAAAGATGCGAAAACGGAACGATGGCGCAGTGGACGCGGCCGAGGGGGACCAGGTCGACGCAGACGGGGAAGAGGTCATCTAGGTGGACAAGCGAACCTCGGCCGTGCCCCGGCGTGACTGCCGTGCCCTGGGCGCCTTGGTCGATCTGCGCTCCGCTCAGACGCACGCGTATTCGATCGATGAAGAGCTCGCACCTCCGCGAGCGCCGAGGCGATGATCAAACGATTGTATTGAGTGGCTTTTCTGGTTAGCTGGAGGCTGTTTTACACGATTTTGCACAATGGATGGACGGGCGGACGGAAGCGCGGTCATGGAGAGCGATGCGTGGAGGCGGCCACTTGCCTGTAGCGAGGGACGGGAGGGGGAAAGCAAAGAACGGTGCCGGCGGCGCATTCTCGGGAGCACCGGGTGGCATCAGGCCACCGGTCCATCGGCAGCCGCCGTCGATGCCGTCGCCGATTGTTGCTGATTCGCAGTCGTGGTCGCGGCGGCAGGGACGGCGCCGCCCGTCGCAAGTCGAAAGTTTTCGACCTCGACAGCGGCGGTGTCGGCCTGCAGTGGAAGGGGTGCATCGGTTGTGTTGGCTACCACGGCCGCCGGCGTCGCACCTGCCGCCAGCCCGGTCCCGTCCCCTGCCGTGCCCGCAACGCCCGACTTTCTCTTCTTGACCGGCGATCCCTCTTCGGCGCCGACTCCACCTGCTGCTGCTGCTGCCCCTGCCCCTGCCGACGACCCCTTGACCTTGCCCGACTTTGTCCTCTTGCCCGATGCCTTTGCTGGCCGCGCGTCGCCGTCGAATACATAGTCGGGCAGCTGCGAGCATTTGATGTGCCGCACCACGATGCCCATCGACGCCTCGTCGTACTGCTCCCATTGCTTGACCTTCTGCGTAAACTCGTTGGTCGGATACGAGATGTCGAGCTGCCGGGGCCCCGTCGCGTTGGGCTGGCGCGGCTCGATGCAGATGCCGATGTAGAATGTCGTGGTCCAGATCATTCGGTGGCCCTCCTTTACCTGCTCGACCTTCTTGGCCTCCTGGGCCGCCTCCTGCACGGCTGCCTCGCCCTCTGGTAGGGCCTCGACCTTGGTCCGCTTGGCCACCTCGTCCGGAATGTCGCCCGTGGCCACCATGCGCACCTCGTGGTCGTTCCAGCACTCGCTGACCTGGTCAAAGCCCTTGACAAACGGATGCGCGCAGATGAGCGTCGGCACCAGCTCCAGCTTCATGATGAGCTGCCGAACCTTGCTTTGCACCGTCCCGTGCCACTTGAGCTGCAGATCGGCGCTGCCCGATGATGCAATGACCTGCAGGTAGTACTTGTACTTGTGGAAGAAGTCGTGCTTGGCGAAGAGCTCGCTCCAGTCCGTCTTGCCAATCATGACGCGGTCGACGACCTCGGCGGCGCGCTTGAACTCCTGCGTCATGACCATCTGCGTCGACTGGGTAACGTTGTGCGTCGAGCACATCGATGGGTACGCCGGCGTGATGATGGGCATGCGGTGCAGGCGGTCCGAGGGATAGAGCTGGGCAGCGTGGCCGAGAGTCGCGGAAGGGGCCGGTGTGAGCATCGGACACGGATTTGCAGAGGCAGAATGCAGCGAAAGGTGCATCGCCGTCGCGGCCGCCCGCCTCTGGGACTCACCTTGGGATTCCAAACCCGCACCGCGAGCGGTCCTTCCTCGATCTGCCTCAGCAGGACCGGCTGCGGCCACTTCCACTGATACATGATGATGAAGAAGCGACTGATGATGGCGCCGGCGGCCTCGTTCGGGTAGAGTTGGCAGATTCGCGCGACCAGCATGGCCCACGCCACGCCTCCGAGGAAGCCCATGATGTTGGAGTAGACGGCGCGCTTCTGCGCCCACAGCTTGATGCAGCGGAGCGCCATGCGGAAGACGTGGATGTTGGGCACGAGGCGGAGGATGCCGTCCGTCACTCGACAGCCTGCATGCAGTGGAAAGTTGGCAGTGCGTCAGCTCAGCTCTGCGCTGATGTCGCGACACAAGATGTGGCGCCGCACAGCGAGCAATCGCGCTGCTGAACACTCACCTCCCAGACTTCGGACATCTCTCTCGTCGAGATTCTTCAGCAGATTGTCGTCCTCTAGCGTCAGCGCATCTTCGACGCGCGGCAGGGCGAGCCGAGCAAAAGTGAAATCGATCGAGACGCCGAGGAACTTGAGGCCGATGAGCGGCACGTAGGCGTCGGGGACGGGCGCCACCTCGGTCACTTCTTCGCGCGCCTTGAGCATTTCGACAAAAGTGGAGAAGAAGTCTTCACGCTGTATGTGCTTGGGCACAACGCAGAGGGTGTCGATGTCGGAGCCGGGGCCATGGACTCCGAGGCGGTATGATCCGAAGGTGAAGATCTTGCCGCCGCAGCTGCGGGCGAGCGCCTCGGACATGCCGTGGTGGATCGAGGTCCGGTAGACAAAGTCCTTTACCATGGCGTCGAGCTTTCCGAGGATGACCTCGCGCAGCTTGCTCTCGTCGTCGGACTCAAAGACCTTTTGGCGCTCGAGCTCGGCGACGAGAGCCTTCGTCACCTCGACCTCGCGCGGGGTGGGTCCATTTGTGGCAATGGGCGGTGTGACGCCGAGCACCTTTGTGGGGCCTCCGCCGAGTGCACCGTCGATGAGTGAGCCCGCGGACATGACTGAATGCGGTGGCAAGCGAGGTTGTGCTCGTGATCGCGGCCGCGGGGAGACGCTCGTTCGTGGGCAGCAGCGGCGGCAGCAGCGGTAGTGCGCAGGTCGTGTGTATGCTTCGGAAGGGAGAAGCGTCAGAGGGATGCGATGCCACGCTGGGGCGGGTTCGGACGAAATGTAGATGCGTCTTGGGCAGAGCGGCGGCTGGATGTGGATCCGCGGGGCTGGGCCGGGTGGTGCGATGGAGCAGGCGCAAACCGGCTAGAGAGGATCGTGTCGCGTTCGAGCGGAAGGAACTGTACGGCGACCGCCCGCGCAGCGCCGTCGAGAAAGCGTGCAGGCGAGCAAGGATGTCAGCAGCAAGAACCGGTGTAGCGGCGGCTGCGGCGGTAGCGAGAGTGGGCGGGACGAGGAAGGTGACGGCGGTCAGAGTGACGATGGTGGTGGCAGGTGAGAGGAGGAGCGCAAAGGCCAACCACCAAAGCCCCGCCCCACCTTGGCTGGCTGCAGCCTTAGCTCCACCTTAACTGGTTGCTATCAGCCCTCACTCACACCGACAGCGCGGCCAGCGCCTTTGGTTCGCCTGCCCGCGCGCCCAACCCAGCACCCCCCGGTTTTCCTACCGCTGGCCTGCCCGTTTTCCGGGCCGTCGGTTCCGCAAGCAAAGAGGGGCAAGGGCAGCGTGCGCCCAGCCCTCGTTAGTTAGCCCCAACGCTCGACACCACTTCCAGCCACACAAACCCCGCCGTGCGGCAGCTAGTATGCCAGCACCGGCCCAGAGCGCAAGCGAACAAGGCCATGAGCATCTTCATGCTGTATCCAGGTCCTGGTCGTATCGACAGGCATCCGAGCAAAGGAACTGGGCCCCGACGGGTAAGCAGGCGCGTCTCGTTCGCCCACAGCGCACGTCGACAACCTCGGCGGAGGCCAGCAACGATGCAGGCGGACGAGGCGCCGCGTCCCGCCCTGCTCTAGTCGTCGACCTTCTTGGGCGCTGGTGCCAGCTGGCCGTAGATGACAAACTGGCCCGACACCAGCACCGCCGTCATCAGGATCCTCGTCCCCAGGCCGGCCCAGATGCCCACCGGGCCCGTCTCCTTGGCCAGCACAATGAGCTTGGACATGGCACTGCCGCTGCCTCCGCCGCCGCGGTTGATCTTGGACAGGAGCGTGTCGGCGGGGTGGCTGAGCACCGCCGCCGCCACACCCGCCACCATACCGCAGCCCAGGTTGATGCCCACCTCGCCCACCTTGCCGTAGCTCGCCTGCTTCTCCTTGGACACCGACTTGTCGACCATGCCGTGCGCCCACTCGTTGGTGACAAACTGGCCGATGGCGTACGGGATCTGCTTGCAGAGGATTGGCGCGTACCCGGCGTAGAAGCCGCGCAGCCCCTCCTCCTTGGCCATCCTCGTCACTGCAGAGACGAGTCCGGTGGCGTAGCCGCGCTGCGACACCAGCCGGATGCGAGCGGCCTCGAGAGGCGTCAGCAGCGTCGACGCAATCAGCTCGGCGGCGCTCGCACCACCGAGGAAGATGAGCTGACGGTACTTGGCCGCCTCCTCTGGCGATCCCGCCATCTCGCTAAAGGTTTTCTGGGCGGCGCGGCGGTAGTTGAGTCGGGTTTCAGGGAGGGATGCTCAGCGAGTGAGGGCCAGAATGGTCTCCGATGCTGCCCTCGTTCAGGGCCTGCTCACCTTGAAGAATTCGTAGCCGGCAAACTTGGCGCCGCCCTGGATGAGGTAGCCGACGGCGGTGGGGCCGAACCCAGTGAGGAGGCCACTGGGGCCTTCGGTGGCCACAATGTTGCGCGCCATCGAGACCATCGTGTACTTGGAACCCTTGGGCTCGAGCTGCAGGCGCGTCTTGACGACATCGATCGGAGTGAGGCCTCCGTGGGTGATGGTGGCGCACGCACCTCCCGCCGAGAAGAACTGGACATAATCGAAAAGGGTGTAGTTCGGGAACGAGAGCCTGGCAACGTCGCCGGAACCGCCGCCGCCCGAGGACGACGACTGTCTCTGACTCGCATCCGACGATCCGGAGCGCGGCTGAAGGCGAGTCCTGACTTCTTCCTCGGAGGGAGTTTTGAGGTACGAGGGCGAGGCGGGCGTGCCGGCGGTGGTAGAGGTGGCCATCCTGAGCGATACGAGGCGAGCGACAATGGACGGGAGGCGGAGGAGGGAGGGGTTCGAAACACAAGGAGCGGCGGCAGCAGCAGCAGCAGCAGTCACGGATACGAGGGCGTAAAAAGATGCTATGGCGGCGGCGGCAGTGGATGGGAGACGTGGTTTTTGGGAGCGCAAAGAACGATGAGCAGCGATTCTTATACTCCTGATACCACGCTGGTTCGATGAAAGGCCTGGTCGCCGGACGAGGAAAGCAACCACAAGCAAGCAAGAAAGGGTCGCAGGCAGGGCCTTCGGAAGCTGCACCCCGACGTAACCGGCCGACCGCACGCACGCACGGAAGCAGAAGCCGGCGGCATTCTGGCGTCGGTTCGACGCGGTCGGACCTCGATTTCACTCTGTTCGATTTGTGAAGGTGGCCAGAGTGCCTGCTCTCTCGCCGTCCGCCCGACGATGCGAGGTGAGCCAGCCATCTTTCGGCCCGGCCAGGCCAAGTCAGGCTAAGTTAGCCCCCAAGTCGCGCTCTGACCAGAGGCCACGCGCGACCCATCGTCGAGCATGCCTGACCCTGCATGCGACGCGACGGCGTACGCTCTCGTCTGGTTGCCTCGATGACCCTTTGGTCAAATTCATCCTATCTATCGTAACCCTCGGGTCGGATCAGAGACATGGTGTGTGCATGCACATGGGTGGCCGGCCGGGAGGACTGGATGTGTCGCGGCCAAACACCATGAAATAGCACTCCAGAACCTGCTATATATTTTTAATGTTTTGCGAGCTTGACATCGAAGGGTTCTATGGAGTAGTGGTCAACTCTAGCGGTTCTGACTTGTTCTCAGGATCCCCTCGAACGTCGAACGAGGGATGTTTCGTTTCCGCTCGCCCCCGGTTCGAATCCGGGTAGGACCTCTTTTCTTTTCCTTTGAGATTTTTCCAATGCGCAGCCTGCCTCACAACTAGCTAAAATCGTAGCCCACCCACCCACCTATTGGAACACCTGTTAAGGTGCGTGCAAGTCGGAACCGACGACAAACAACAAGTCTAGTTGTCTGGAACACCGAAGGACAGTATGGAGTCAATCGTAGGAGTCGAGTTGTTATTCCTGGACTCGGAACGGCTTCGGGGCCAGGTCGAGGCATAGCTAGCAGCAGGGTCGCCCGAATTTGATTGTAGGCAGGCTACGATCTGAAATCGGGCATCAACCCCTGTCTACAATTTTTCCGATGCGCAGCCTGCCTACGATCTCAAATCGGGCATCGATGCCTGTGTACGATTTTTTGGGCGCGCAGCCTACCTACGATCTAGCCATGATCCAAAATTGTAGCCTGCCTGCCTGCCTGCCTGCCTGCCCGCTTCCGCACAGTCAATGGCTGTCAATCATCGGAATCTTTGGAGAGCTGCTCTTCCGCTCGGCTTCTGCCCTGCCTGCCCCGCCCGCCCTGCTGGC